GTTATGGCCAGTTCTGAAGTGTTAAAATTCTCAAGATGATATGGAAGGAATTTGAGACTTGTAAAATGATCCAAGGAGAGGTATGAGATGATTAACTTGAGAATAACTTTAACAGTAACATTTTTAAAAGAAGGGGTCTAAGTGATGAATTGAATTGGTATTGTTGGGAAATGAGTTGCCATTTGAGGTAATAATTTCATAAGATGCTCTTCCTCTTAGACTATTAACAGCAAAGTGATGCAATGGCAAGGCCACAGTAGGAGGTACCAATAAACTCTGTCATGTTAAAGTGCATTCTTAGGCAGACAAAGAAAAATAGAGGACTCTAGATATGTCTGTCTCATAAATCAAGTGTCAGGAATTGTGTCCTGGTTGTTCTTATACTGGAAACAAAATCTGAATAGCACTGCTTGCATTGGCATTCTTCTGTGGCTTCAAGCTGAGCAGAATGTGTTTTGATAAAGATCCCATATCAATACCTCTAGTGACTCTGGATATATTTTCTGATCAGGTCCTCAGAGTTCTAGGAGATGGTCACATTTCTGCTTTCTGATGAAGCAAAATCCTTCTAGACACATCTGAATGTTTTCTTAGAGGTGAGGCCTAGACTGGAATAAGGTTCATGGCAATGCATGCACTTTAGATACTTGTCTACATCTGGGAGCACAGCTAACACCAGGGATTTCATGTTTTTGTTTAAATCCGTTTTCACAAACGGAAGAGTTCTGAAATAAGGTGTTTTTCACCTCGGTGAGGATGTGGAATGAGTGGTAGTACTTCTCTGCTTCTTCTCGAATGGATGTAATAGCAGAGAGCTACCCAAAGGTCCAGAGAAGGAAAAAAGTGCCATCTTAGATAAAACCTATATATATTTAATGCCAAGAAGATTTTGTTGTTAACATTTTAGTGTGGTCTCATTTTTCTGCTGATTTCCTGGGTGCAAATTGCTTATTGACATTTGAGCCCAGTTTATGGGCTTTTACAGCTTGATGAGCTGGGGGGAAATCTCAGCCTCTGAGGCAAGCCAGAGCAATTTTGGGAGAGCCCCATGGCACTGTCCGTGTCCTAGGGACATCAAAAAGGACATTATGGGATGTGACCTCCTCAGGAGGAGCACAGTGGTGAGCAGGAGTGCAAAGTCCAGCAGAGTTTGGTCAGCTTGTTTCTCACCCTTGAGCAGGTCATTGCAGGTATATCTCAGCTGGTGCCCCTGCCTGTGTGCTTGGCAGAGGAATGGGTTGGTAAATGCACTTTTCTCTCACTGTTCAATGCTTAGCTCCCTCCTAAGCCTCTTGCAAGCAGTATCGAATTCTTAGAAACCCGTAGTGTGACCTCTTTCTTTTGGAATATTTATTAGTGTACAACAGCTACAGACTCACACCAATGGTTACAAATAGCAGCAGCAGTAGATAACAACTATCACTAGTGTGCAGTCTTACTCTTTTCAAAGCACAGGAGTAATTAGCTATTTTCATCTTTGTTTGATTACAGTAATATTCAAATTAAGCATCCCTTGATGCAGTTATCAATAAGTAAGGGCTGTACCACCTTTGTGTAGGCCACTTCCAAATCTGCATGGTGATATTCTTGCCATGCTAGTGTAATTGATTTAAAATAATATTGGCTAGAGGAGGAGTTTGGTTACTTTTACCTCCCAAACCAATGTGTGTCAGGAAATACAAGTGAGTGGAAAAAGTCTGTCTGGACAGGCAGCATGCTGTGGTGTATTATGTTTCACTGACATGAGAGGAATGTGGCAGGGAGGTCTACAGTTCCCTGCTGTAGGCACTAACACTCTGGCTGGAAAGCAGCTTGGGATGTGCTTTTTGCTTCATTAAGCAAAAGGCTTTTAGCCCGTGGCAAGAAGTGCTGTAAAACACAGTGGAAGTATTATAGTGTGTATGGTCAGACAGGGTTGCCAATTTCAAGTGTCTAAAATCACAACAAGGTATTCCAACATAAAATCTGTCTAGAAAATAGAGATTTAATTTTTAAAACACTTTGTTTCCTTCTTGCCTCTTAAGCTTCATTTATTTTTAAGTGAAAGCTGAGATCTTCGCTGAAAGTTAAGGTCCTCATCTGACTTCAAGGCTTTAAGAAAAACAAATAATAAAAAAAAGCAAATTATAAAAACCTTGCAAAAGGATCATAAAGGTTGCTAACAGTGAGTCTGGCATCCTCTGTAGAAGCTGTGTGCTTGTATAAGCTTTGTCACTGTAAATAGGATCTGAAAGGCAGGGGTGCAAAACGCAGGCTAAGCTCCTGGCACTTGCAGTGTAGTTGAGGTTTGCTTACCTTTAATAAATAACAGTAACTGTGCTGGCTTGTGTTATTGAGCAGCCAGCCAAAAAAAAAAAAAAAAAAAAAAAAAAACCCCAACAAAACAAAGCAGCACAGTCTGTGTTGTGTGGGGGAGCCACAGTGAGGCAGTCTGCAGAGCTTGCAGCCAGAGTTACCTACAGCTGGCCCTTGTCTGCTGTAACTTGTGCAGCCTCCCAGGGTTTCATCCTGGGTGTGTTGGGGTCAGTAGCAGGACTCCTGCTCACAGGAGCCAGCAGGTAATGCTGAGGGATGCATTCATTTCCTTATGTTGCCTACAGCTTCCAAGGAAATGTCAGTGCTTCCCTGAAAGGGAAGTATAAGAATGGTGACGTCCAAGTTGTTGTCCCCACTCTGCTGACGCTGTAGCTTTAGGATTTTGAACTGGTAGCAAGCAAGGAATGTGGAGTGCTTCTGTTTCTAGGCACCACCACAGTGCTGGAAAAGCTATGCCAGAGCATAAGCATGGGTGTTTTTAGGATCATTCCTTGTTCCTGCCAACCTGCCCTTCAGTTCCAAAGAAGACAAACTACAAAGCCCACTCTTTGCAAAGATTAAGATTCAAGAATTTTAATAACTGTACAGGATTTGTAAAGCAAAACTTGAGTTTGCTGGTTTTGGAGAGTGTGTGCTGCTGTACCTCCATCAGCTGCAAATTTGGTCCTGTTCTATCTGCCTGTCTTGAACTCAGTTGAGATTTTTTTCTGCTGTGCAACCCTGGAAGAAACAACAATTGTTGAAATAACATTTCAGCACTATTAAACACTGCTCATTGGATGCTCTGACATTTGGTGTTGGCAGCTCTGCCTGCCTCTTCAGCATGCATCTGGCTGTCACTGTTCAGCCAGTCCTTTTCTTCTGCACAGTTCAGATGGAAAACACCTTGGCTCTCAAGAGTGCTCCAAGTGGCTGTTCAGCATGGCTAAGCCTCAGGAGCTCCTTCTTGCAAATATAAACTTGCTCTTAAGCATAATTTTCATTGTTCTTAACAATCCTATTAATTATGGAGGAATGATAAATAATCCAGTGGTCTGAAAGCACATTATTGTGGCTCAGGATGATGCTTTAGGTGTTGGAGGTGTATGAGATGCTCTGATGTACTCTAGGATCTAGCAGCTCACCTGAAGGTTCGACGTGGCTGATGACCACTGAAGTCTGCAGGATGTATCATGCAGCTTGTAAAATACTTCCTCACCTCTGGTGGGAACATTTATAGTCAGAAGCAATGCCTTGAAACGTTTACTAATCTCACATTGAAAGGGCAAAGAAAAAGATAGCAATGTACAGATGTTGTGAGTGTTAATTATTTATCTTGCGATCAAAAAAGTATAAAAATAATCCAGGGTGAATACTGGGAAGAATTGTGAAGGAGAACACTGACTCTTTCAGTTTGAATAATGCAGACCCCATTCAAGCTTTCTCTGCAGAACATGATGTCTAATCCCAAGCACAAGTAAACACATGTGGGGGTTTTTCCTATAAAAGCTTTTAAAATCATGCTGCTCTTGAGAGGTGACTGATTGTGCTCACTTAGCTTCAAGTGAATAATTAAACTGTGAGGAGTTATTATTTTCCTAGTTCTTCTGTCGTGTTTCTTACTTATTAATTCTTAGATATTCAACTTATAGACATTTTTGCATCCATCAGGCTCTGCTTCTATGGTCTGAAAAATAAAATATGTAAAGGAAACTGCCACAGATTTAAATGCATTGTATTGTTACAGTATAAATACCATCTTTGTAATTAAACTACTTGAAAATATGAACCATCAAATTTTTCTCAGGGACTCATCCATCTAAGAGAGTTTTGTGCCTTTGAAAATCTCCCTGGTGTGCTTTGCTTCTCCTGATTGTTCTTGGAAGAAAATTAGCTTCTAGTCCTTTAAAACTTGTTGCCTGCAAAGTTTATTTGCTGCTAAATACGCACACGCTAAGTGCTGTGGGATCAAAAACAAAAACAGGTTGCTCTTCCTATGATGTGATTTGCAGTTTGGCAGAAGTCAACAATACAACTCTGTGTATTTGGGATCATGGATCAAGAACCTGCAAGCTATCTTCAAATCAGAGGAAAGAGGGAATTTAAAGAGACTAGAAAAGGATGAGAGAAGCCACTTGAGACCAGGTAGCCTTGCCCAAAGTCCTGGGGGTTTTTTTTGTCCTGGTCCAATGCCCATGCTCCTACATTAGACAAGTGCCCTCTTGAAAATGTCCTCTGAAATTCTGTAACTTTTTGAGAGTTTGAGCAGATTTTTTTTCCTATTAGGAATGTTTTCCTGATGACTGAGTTGCTCCACCAGGTGTCTGTGGCTTTGTCATTAACTTGCCATCTTTGTGGGGAGAGTAGGATGATGGCAGGTTGAGGAAGTGAAAGGGGACAGGGAGGGAAATTCTCAGATGGTGGGGGGAAGTTCATGAAGGACCTGGATGAAAAGCCCTAGGAGGATTAAGAGAAGAAACTCTTACCCATCCAGGCTCTTTTTCATCATGGTTTTTCACTATGAATTACTTGAATTTTTGGATATTTTTTGACGTGCTTTAGACAGATATTGAATAAGAGCAACATTTGTAATCTAATCACAACCTCAGTGGTGGAGAGACCTCCGGGTTCCACCTGCAGAACTAAAAATCAGTAATGTATTAACAGAAAGACATGACCTTTTCCTGTCTGTTCTACCCTCACAGATGAACAGGAGCCAGCAGTCAGCAGTGATTCAGATATTTCATTGATTATGGCCATGGAGGTTGGACTGTCTGACGTGGAGCTTTCCACTGATCAAGACTGCGAAGAGGTGAAATCTTGAAAAACCAGAGCTCCAACACAAAACTGCAGGGGAGGGTCACAGGTAGGGACAGAGCCAGCTTTCTAGGATTTGGACCAGTCATGCACATGCCTCCAGAGCACTGTCACTCCTGCACACTCCATCCTGGGATGGCCGTGAGAAGCAATAGCAGCTGTTGTGCCTGCCTGGATGTGGTTTCATCATCTACACCCTTCGTTTGGCTCCCGTGGGAGATGGACACTTCCAGTTCACCCACGTGCTTGAGAGCAGTCATGGAATTCTCCAGGGGCTCAGAAACATGCAACTGAAATGACAGCTTGAGTGTTTTCTACACCTGTTCAATCAAACTTTTGTTGGGTTTTTTGAAAAGGCATACATTTATTTTATTTGTTTGTTGGTTTATAGTTTGCTATGAATGGACACTCTGTTTTTATTGACTGACCCCAGCTTTTTCAAGAGTTCAGTCCAGAAATCTGAATTCATGTTCACTGGTCACTTCCTGACCTGAGCAGGATTTATCATTGCCTTGTTGTTTCTGCATGAATTACACGTGGCTGGCTTCTGAAGGATGATGCACCAGCACTCTGCATTAATGTAACACCTGCTTTCATTAAGTGGAAGGCTTGGAAATGGTATATTCTGAAGGCTTTTATTTGTAAGAGAGCTCTGAATTAGCAGAAATTTGGGTTAAAACGCCATTAGTTTGTCTTTTACTTAGAGCTCTGTTCTAGACAAGTATTGTACAGAGTGAAGGAGAGAAAGAAAATTTAAAGCATCACTCTGTCCGTGTAGACCTGTCCTGTATTTTATGCTATTCACAGGTGTCAGTGCATTAGTGTCCTTCCTTCAAGTGACAATTCAGTAGTTGGAAAAAAAGATCTAGCATAACATCATTTCTTTTCTTCATTTTACAGACCAAAACCAGATCAGTGGGCTAAAGGAGCATCTGAGAGGTTTCCAGGGGCTGCTTATTAACAGTTCTGCATTCAGTGGGTGACTGTATTCCTAGAAAGGGTCTGGAGATGCTGCTATCAGTGTCAGAAATTGCTAAAGGAGCAAGAGGCAGTCATTTGAAATGTTCAATTCCTGGTTAGCTTTGGGTCTTTTCCTTTAGTGTGCTTCATTTCTTTCATTTTGACAGCAGCTTTTGTCTGCTTGTTGTCTAACAAGAGTTCAGGTGATTTGTTGCCCTCCAGAGTCCCTCTCAATGTTGTCAGAAGCATAACAGAATTTTTGCTATTTGTGTACAGGTACATATACCAAAATATATTGGGGAGGGAATTTGCTGAGGGAATTTGAGTACAAAAGAACTAACATAAATCAAAACAACTAAATAATAATGACCTGACATAATAATTTATTTCATCCTGAGCTCTGCTTTCCAGGTAAGAGCTCATTGTTAATTGTTCAGTGTATGATTTGGTTTTTCAGTCAAAATACTCAACTGTGAAGAAGCTTACTGTTACACAGGAGTACATAGTTTCTGCTGAGAGTCAGATGATTTCAATCACATTACTGCCTCCTGAGTCAGTCCACAGAATCAACAATTCATCTTACATTGAAATTTCATGCAGAGGTCAAATATTTTGACTTGGCAGGGTCATGGCAGCATCTCAAAATACAACTCTTGGGGCTCACTGCATTTAATCTCCTTGTGGATTTACTTGTTAAATGTGAAAACTAGCTTCCATCCAAAATTTGTGTTTGTCAGATTTTATTCAGGAGCAAGTGTGTTTAGAACTGTCCCTAAAATTTTGTCTGACTTGCTTCTTTAGTACAGAAAGAAGGAAAAAATATTCTCCGTGCTCTTTTGTCCATTTAGAACTAATTAAACATTTAGTTTAATTTTATATTCTTAGTCCCTAAATTGCAGGGTAATCCTGAGGTAAAAGGTTTAAACTGAAAGAGGGCAGATATTAGAAATATTAGATATTAGAAATAAATTATTACTGCGAGGGTGATGAGGCACTGGAAGAGGTTGCCCAGAGAAGCTGTGGATGCCCCATCCCTGAAAGTGTTCAAGGCCAGGTTGGATGGAGCTCTGAGCAGCCTGGTCTGGGAAAAGATGTCCCTGGCCATGGCAGAGGGTTTGGAACTAGCTGATCTTTAAGGTCCCTTCCAACCCAAGCCATTCTGTGATTCTATGAAAATGTGCTGTTGCATCTTTAGAAGCTGTTGGAATGAAAATCTTTTTTCAATTTAAGAGACAGAGGCAGCTGGAAATCTTGGTTAAAAAAGAAAGTTACAGACTGTTCCAGAGGGTACACTAGGTCAGTCTTGACAATATTTGTGGTTCTGTAATCTCGTTTTCCTTGTTCTTTTATGTCTTCTCTATTCCTTGCTGCTATAGGAAAGGCCTGACACATCAATGTTGAAATTGACCCCTAGACAGGAGAGTTTGCACAAGGTACTGCATCAGCTCCACTTAAGCTCTGTAAATAATGCTGAAATGGGATTTAAGTGGTGCTTTCATCCAATTTTGACCCAGGAATGAAATTGCTTTCAAACAACCACAGGGGAAGGAGTGAGGCTGGTTATGTACAGTCAGGGCTCCTTATACAAAGTCCACACACTCTGGTACAATTTTTTCTCCAGCACTGGAGCCCGGGTGCTGCATGTCACAGGAACATCACAAACACGATGTCCAAGTTGTCAGTGATCCTTTCTCATATGCACACTGCAGCTCAGCACACAGGCAGAGAAAGTTATGCAGGCAGAATTTTGCACTCACAAAAACCTGATGTGTGCATGCAGATGTGCAAGGCACAGGAAGAGAACTCCTGGTCAAACTGCTTGGGTTTGAGAGGAGCTATCACAAAGTCTTCATTTTATTTCATGAACTGGATTAAGTTGATCTCAATGGATGGATGGATTGACCAGTTTGCTGTTGCCATAGCAGAACCACCCACGGCACAGCAGAACAAGCAAAGTCTGTGGAAAAGTGAGGCAGGAAGGGAAACTCCCAGCTGATACTGAGCTGGGTCCTTTGCCCAGCAAAATCATTGAAGGGAGCTGTGCTCAAAAAGGCATCACAGATTTGGTAATTCGGGTCCTGAGAGATAATGAGGAACTTTGTCCAGGTCCCATGCTGTGCACACACTTTTCCTAAATATCCCATATTAGATCTGGTCCCTCAAGGTCCATAGGTGGCCACTGGCAGAGGCAGAGTGCCAGGCTGGGTGAGTGATTTTGGCAATTAGTGCTATGCCTTTTGGAAGAGGCATCCTAGCAAATCTGGGCCAGGAGTCTTTCTGCTTTTGTTTTCCCAGTTCTGCCTGCAGGTTCACTCAGGGAAGATGTTGTTGCACCCCTGTCCTCATGTGTTCTGCAGCTCTGAGCACTGTTAAGTGAGGATGAAGGCAAAGCCAGGTTACACATCACTGAAGCCTGAACTTAGGAAAGCACTTAAGTAAATGTTTTATTCCGTCCTTCAAAAACACACTTATGAATAATTTTGGACTTGCACCAAAATTGCATTATTTTTGACAGGTCTCCTTTGTGCATAATTAAGCCCCTGTATCAAAAGGAAATGTTTTCCTAAAGCTTGACCTGACTGACAATATTCCTTTTATATATAACAGTGAACTGCCTTGGGAATTTGAGGTGCTTTATAAATGTTAAGACCCCCCCGATGTGTGTTTGTAGCATGTATGAAAGCCTTAATTCTGCACATCTGCGTGCCCATGTACACCCTGGTACTGCTGCCTGCTGAGTTTGGGCACTGAGTGGGTGGGGTTCAAGCTGCTGGGGATGCAGTACTGGATGTTCAGAAGGGAGAGCAGCCTTTAGCATGCAGCCAGGAAAGAACAAAATCCTCTGGAGCCCTCTGACAAGCAAGTGTTCACAGATGCAATTCTGCAGGCTGGTGCCGTGACTGGGCAGGGGGGACATCTCCTGCACAGGGACAGTGGCCAGGGGATTGTGTGGCTCCCAGGAAAAGGCACTCTTGTCATTAAGTTGGTCCTGTGCCTCTCCCAGCAATTCCTGTCTTGTTCTCTGAAGCACTTTTCCTTTCCATGAGTAAGAGATAGGTGAGAGAAGCATTTGCCTTAGTGAGGCTCATCATCAGTCAGGCTGGGTCGAAGGATAAAACTTGGTGAGACAGAAACTGCACTCAGAGCATGCTTGGATTCTCTTGGGTTTCACTAAGCTGCCTTCCCAAAGGTCTGCTCAATAGGTAGGGTGCATGGAAAGTTGTACAGGCGGAATTTTGCTCTCACAAATGACCTGATGTGTGCATGCAGATGTGCAAGGCACCAGGTGTACATCCCCTCCCCACAGCTCACCTGCTCTGCTGGGGATACAGATCTGGCACTTACTGAGGGTTTGGGGTTTTTTATTTTCTGACTGCTTTAGAGCCTCAAAACCAGGATCAGGACTATCATAGCACTGCAGTTCATTCTTTAAGCACTCTATAGAATTAAATTGACATTTATGCATATGAAAGTGCACTGATGTCAGTATGGAAACTGTACTATTGTGAAATCAGAAGTAGTTGTTACTTCTAGGCCTTTTATTTGAGAGAGATTTTAGCACTAAAGAAAAAGGCTTTATAGGGGCAATTTGGAAATATAAATTATTGAAACCACATATGATAAGTGGTCCCTTGGATGTCACTAATGACGCCAGGATCAAATCCCAGGGAAGTCATTACAAGAAGGGCATTAATGTCGGGGTACATCCATTTTGCAGGACTAAAATGGCAGAGGAATCCAGCCTGTTCCTTCCCAGCCCGTCTCACAAGCATTTTTCCAAGGGTGAGCCTTTGTTGCAGGGGGAAGAGATCATGGGATCAAATCTGCACAATGCTGCTTCCTCTGCTGTGTTCTGTGCTGCCAGCATCTCTTGGAGCAGGTTGGAGAAGGGAAGGAGCTGGCCCAAGGTCAGCTCCAGGGCTTGGTGAAAAGCAGGCCATGGGTTTTCAGCAGGTTTGGGACAGCCAAGCTCCTTCATGGCTTCTGCTGGCCCTGGGACTGGAGCTTTGTTGGTGAACACTGAGCCCATGTGGACTCATTTGTTTTGTAGATGCAAAAACGTGCGGGTGTATTTGGGGCAGGCAGTATTTGGGATGGCAGTGAATCCCAAATACTTGGGATAGCACTAGCAGGAAACACAATGTGGTGTGGTTTAGGGCTGAGGGAAAACGAGGCTGGAGTTGTTCTTCTTAAATAGGGGAAATTGATCCAAAATAAGCACTGCTTTTGTTTTACCAAGCCGTTACCTGAACTAATTGGTGCTTTCAGAGAATGAGGAATGCCAGATGGACTGTTCAGGGAGGATTTGTTTGTGAAGCAGATGGCAGCTGTGGGGTGGGACTGAGGGCTGCCCCTCTGCCTACCCCACTGGGCCCCTTTATCTGCCCATTTCTTTTTCAAGGAAACCCCCTTCTAAGCAGGAGCTGTATTTCAAAGGGAGAAATAAAGAAATGAAAGATGTGGGTTTTGAATGAAAAGCCAACGGATTATTTTTCCATCTGAAATTAATCTTGTCTCTCTCAAGTATTTTAATTGTGAATTGGTGGAAGTTACTTCTTCCTGTAGTGAATGGAAAAAGAAATGAGAGGGAAAAAAAAGGAGTAATAGTGTTTTCCTTTTCTTGTTTATTTCTGGATTCTTCAGTCCTGAGTAGCATTAAACACAATGGCCAGATCAAAATGCTTGTTTGCTCTGAATGTATACAGTTATTTCAGATGTCAAATATCTAAATGTTTTGTATATGTATGTAATGCCATCCTCAATACTTGTTTCATGTTAGGAACCTGAAATGACTGTACCATTTTATAATTAGATATGTAAAGAGGGGACAGTGGGTGGGAGGGTCTGTTATTTTTATACCAAGATGTTCCTTGTATTTAGTGAACATTTAAAGCAGTTTTGTACTTGTCAAAATATACATTCCATCCATTTCCAGAAGAGAATTATTTCTATTTAGAGTAGTTTATATGCAAACAAGAAAAAAAAAAAAAAAAAAAGTGGCATCCCATTTGTGTGCAGTTCCTGAACAGAGCAGCAATCCTGGTTTTCAGTGATGGCTACAAAGCTTTTTCCAGCCCTGTCTTCTCACATGCAGCAGAGCCATGCCAGCAAATGCCAGTGTTATAAAGGGAATAAAAATCCCAAACGAAATAAATACCACATGGATCAGTGCACAGCTTAACGAAATAACTTGGTTAAGTTCAGAGACAATGGTCTGTCCCAGTGAAATTCTCCAAAGGAATCAGCCCTGCTCTGGACAGCAGGATCAGATTTACTGGGAGGCTCCAGCTCTCTGCCCCTGCTTGGCAGAGCCATCAGCCTCAGCGAGCTGGGGGCATGCAGGGCTGTTGCACTGCTGCACTGGGGCTCTGGCTGTGCTGCAGCTTTGCTTTGGGAAACACCTACCAAAAGGCCATGGCAAAGTCCCACTGTGGCATTTGCATGGGCCATCCTTTTTCTTGTAGTTGGCTTTTTCATTTCCCTCCCTTTCCCTGCTACCTGTGACGTGCTGCCAAAACTGTGCAGTACAGCAGTTTGTGAAGAATTTCTTTTTTTTTTTTTTTTGCCTTTTTTCCCTTCTGTACAGTCTTGCAAATAAACTTTTAACTCTTTGCTGACATTTTATAACGTATACATCTTCCTCTCCAATGCACTTTATCTCTCTTGAAAAATATGGGAGTCGGAGAACTTAAAGGGATTTGCCTGAAATCATGAGACACATACTTTTTATTATTTTGTGTCCTTTTTGCTTTGTTAGATACTGTAAATGCTAAAGAGCATAGACAGTGACTCAGCTGGGGGCAATACCGAAATGTTGAGGCTAATACT